AAAAAAAAAAAAAAAGAAAAGAAATATATATATATATAAAAAACAAGACTTCAAAGAATATGTAATTGTTTTCTTTCTTCTTCCACCACCCTTCTCCTTGTCCCACCACCTGTGCTTCCTGATTTCATGAAAAGAAAATGCTGAACCAGATCTGGACGACAATGAGGATGAGGAGGAGCCTGCCGTAGAAATTGAACCCGAGCCAGAGCCTCAGCCTGTGACCCCAGCCCCACCACCTGCCAAGAAGCGGAGAGGACGACCCCCTGGCAGAACCAACCAGCCCAAACAGAACCAGCGTAAGTTGTTCATCTCTGCTCTGGAGGCTGGAGTCTTCTCCGAGCATGTGGGGGAGCCAGATGGGTCCTTGTTCTTTGGGGAGGTGGGAACTAAGCCATGAGAACAAGTTAAGGGCATGTCGAGAACAAACTCTCAGGAAATGGTTTTTTAGGAGTTTTTACTGAGGAACATCTGAGGAAATCTTTAGAGGCCTGTTACATTTCAAGGAGAAGAAGTCCAGAGTAGAAGGGTACTTGTGTTCTACAAGATGGGTACGGTTAATGTGGGCGGGTTTTGAAAAACAACCAAAGTCACAGTCAGCTGGCAGAATGGATGCGGTAATGAATATAAAAGAGCCAAATCGTAAAGGGTGGAAAGGGAAAGCAGTTTCTGTGCTGAGATTGCCCCTTCTAAGAAACTCAGGGTGAGGCACGGTGGCTCACACCTTTGATCCCAGCACTTTGGGGGGTCAAGGCGAGAGGATCACCTGAGGTCAGGAGTTCCATACCAGCCTGGCCAACATGGTAAAACCCCATCTCTGCTAAAAATACAAAAATTAGCCAGGCGTAGGGGCAGGCCCCTGTAGTCCCAGCTACTCAGGAGGCTGAAGTAGGAGAAACGCTTTAACCCGGGAGGCAGAGGTTGCAGTGAGCCGAGATCGTGCCAGTGCACTCCAACCTGCTGATAGAGCAAGACTCTGTCTCAAAAAATAAAATAAAAAATAAATTGAGGCCGGGCACGGTGGCTCAAGCCTGTAATCCCAGCACTTTGGGAGGCTGAGATGGGCGGATCACAAGGTCAGGAGATCGAGACCATCCTGGCTAA